GCCCTGTGCACAGTGCCAGTGTGAGGGCGAATCTGACGGCCGGGTCCAGGATTTTCATGGGGTGGGGAGCAGTGGTGCTACCAGGATACCATGGTTGGGGGGGGGGGGGTGGGATCAGTTCACCAAGGAAGGTAAAAGATACATCACATGTGCTAGTACAGTATGTCAAAATCATTCTTTTATGGGGTCTTTGGGTGACTATTTCTGGAAGGGTCACAGATGGTCATTCGGGGGGGGGGGCTCTAAGCCCTCTAGTGCCCCCCTGTGGCAACCGAGAAAGAAAGCAAAGGGGGCTGGCTGCTTTAGGACACTTCCTGCTCTGATGGACTTGCCTTTATAGCCAATGTAAAAGGGCACACACAGCATTTCCCGGCTCTACACGGCTCATCACAGCGACATTCTAGGCCTTTCCATTCAGTGTGGCTATGATGGAGTTCCGATTTGCCAGCCCATTTGACCTGGGTGCGAGGCACCAAATCCCATAATGTTCCAAAACCCACCCTAGTGTGTGTATCACATCCCTGCAGTCGGCGGGATGCCAGGGAGGAGACTCTGCCTCTGCTCCACATGCATTTTCCTCCCCGCTTTTTATCTTCTAACCCCCTTAACAGCAGTGAAATTCCAGCAATGCCCCCACACCGCACTAATATAGGTCCCAAATTGTTTACTTTCCCTTCCTAGGTGCAGCTGGCGAAGGAGAAAGGGGCAGTTTTCATCTGCAATGGGCGCCGCGTACGTGGAGAAAATCAGTAAGTGCCTCTCCGACGTTCAGCTGTCTCTTAGCCATGCAGCTCGGTCTGCAATAAAGACCTCTGTCGCTGGTGATGTCATCAAACACACACAACTGGGGGGGTGATATGTGTGTGCGTGCGTGTGAGTAAGTGTGTGAGCATACTGGCCAGCATTCCTATCCGTCTCGCTTTTCCCATTAACATTAAAAAAAACCTTTTAAGCATATGTTTACTTATACAGTATTTGCATTATATATACTTTTATTCCTTGATTTTTATTTGCCCACATCCTCGCCAACCTTATCCCCTGGGCTGGGGGGGGGGTTGCATTACCTTTACACTGCACACAAAAGCTAGTCTCAAGCAAGACGCAGAGATGCCCTGATTTCATAACCTTTTCTCCTGGCGCCCCCACCTTCCATTCTCTGGCGCTGATTAATACTAATAAAGAGCCCCCAAGCTACAGCACACAGATAGACACACGTCACAAGGCCCCTCCCAGCAGTCTGATTGTAGCCAATATAATTACGTTCCAGTACCAAGCCACTCTACTGCTGGGCTTAAAATACACATCAAAAAGAAGAATGACATCAAAGCTTCCTCCAACATTGGCACATTTATCAGCACGATGTTCACTCTCCCAGGAGCCCAACTTTCGCCACCGCATGACTCATTTTAAATTCTCCTATTGTAAATCTCGTCCTATTTCTGAGCAGGGGATTATGGGAAAAAGAGCCACAGACCTGCGCTCTCTCTCTGGCGAGAAAGATTTTATCAGCACTCTGATAGGCAACGCAGAGGAAGTTCAAGTGCGCCGTGACCCGCACCTCACACCATCTCCACAGCTTCTTCCCCATAGTCGTCCAGCTCCTAAATAAACTCACCTGGTTCCTCAGTAATCCGACACCCAGGTGCGATCCACTCACTCAAGAACAATTCCCCACTTATCCAACATCTTCCCTTCAGAGTATACATGCAGTATGGTATGTTCACACATACTGGCGATAAAGTGTGTTCTGATTCTGCACATTGTGATTCCCCTTGCTGTCAGCACTCAGTCCATCAGGGGACACATGCTGTGCTAGCAGCTACTCCAGCTCTGCATCCTACAGCCTGATCTGCAACCTTGTTAGAAGCCTAAGCTTCTTCTCTGTGGGAGTTTCCCTGGATACAGTTAAGACGATTAACAGGGTTTGGGGGGGGGGGGGGGGGGGGCGGGTGCAG